CCCGCCGCCGCCGCCGTAGCCACCACCACCCCCGCCGCCTCGCCGCCGCTGCCGCTCCTCCTCCTCGTCCTCCCGCCCCCGCCGCCGCCCCTCGCCCCCGCCGCCCGGCCGCCGCGGCCGGTCGGGGGAGCGTGTTGACGTGGGCAGCTCAAAGGGGTGGCCGGCTGACGCGGCATCCCAATCCTCTGTCGCCAGCCGCGTGCTGCCCGGCGGCGGCCCGCCTGGCAGAGACAGTCACGAATGCAGGATGGGATGGCAAGGGCGATCATGACGCATGAGAGGTTCAGGGTGTTCGTCTTCTTGGGGGTGGGGTGCGGACGGCAACGCTCATGGAGTAGCGAGGGGAATGCCTCGGGAGGGCTTGAAAGGGTTGCACGTGTGGCTCCCGCGCCCGACGCCGACCCCAGCCGTCGCCCCCTGTGGGGCGGATTGCGGCGGGCCGGCCCGACCCCCGGACGCGCCGGCAGACGGCGGGCGGTCGTTCAACAACCAGGGCGCGGGCGCGACGGCGCAAACAGGGTGAGAAAAACGGTAGGAAACGCGCGCCGGCCCCGCCGCACCTGCGCGTGGCGGTTCGCCCCTATGGTGTGTCCCCGGCACCTCCTCGCCCCCGCCTGCCGCATTGCCCCAAAAGAACCCCGCCAGGATCAGCGCCGTGCCCCCGCCCGTCATCGCCGCCGTGCGGCCGCTGGCGAGCCACTCGGCGCGCCCGAGGGCGGCGTCGGCGGCGGCGGCGATGGGGATCTGGATCGACAGTCCGAGGGTGGCGATCGTGGGTCCGAGAAGCAAGACCGCGTGGGCCCAGAGGTAGTCCGAGAATGCGTAGTTCAGGACGCCTGCGGAAGGCGAGCGGGCGCAGGGATTAGAGCGATGTGCTCACTTAGTGGTTACATAGAGATAGACTCTTTGATAAATTACAACCAAAGTCGAGTCGTATGATAGAGCTTGGGGGTTCTGCGAGGCTGTCGCGCCGCGCGCGCGTGCATGGTTGGGCGTGCCTGGTGGTGCGCTGACGCGGCACCCGAGGCGGCGCTGCAAGGACGCGCGAGTCAAGGCGTGCCCCTGCGCCCACCGCCGCGGCGGGCGCGACCCAGCACATACACACAAGCACCCGCACAACCACAAACTCACCGAATTGGATGCACGCCCCTATACACAAAGACACACATGCAAACACACCCGCATGCACACAGCCTCAGGCCCCCACCACAACAGGACCACCCACAACCCCCCCTCCCGCCCACCCTGCAGGAAGAACAGCCCCAGCTGCTGCATGCACACAAACACACACACACACACACATGCATGCATGCATGCGCGCGCGCGCACACACACACACACACACACACACACACACACGCACGCTCATTCACACACACGCACATGCACACACGCACATGCACACACAAACACACGCGACTGCACGCGCGCCCACCTTGCAGGAAGATCAACCCCAGCGCCTCACGCGTCACCCCCCCCAGGTCCATCGCGCCGCTCAGCGCCAGCCCCGCCAGCACGGGCGCGAAAAGAACAGTGCAAAACAGCCCCACGTAGCCGAAAAACAGCGCCACGTCAGCCTCATCGTCGTCGGGCAAGGCGCGGCGCAGGACGATGGTGTATGCAGCATACAAAGCGGCCGACCCGAGGCAAAGCAGATCGCCTGCGGCGCTGCGGCTGCGCTCGGGGGCGGCGGCGGCGGCGGCCGCGGGGACGGGCGCGAGAGCGGCGGCGTTTTCGTCGGCGGCGCCTTGCCGGCCGGCGAGCTCGTCTGAGAGGGTCACTAGGGCGGTGCCTGCGGGGCCGGGCGGGCGGGCGAGTGATGTGGCAGGTGGGAGCGGGACGGCGGCGGGGCGCGCGAGCCTGGGGGTAGGTGGGTTGCAGATGGACGCGGCAGCGCGTCAAGGGAGCAGCGTCAAGCCGGTGACATGGGCCGCTTCCGCGCCCGCCGACGGCGCCGCCACCGTCCCGCTGCACCCAGGTCCAGCACACGCGCCCTCGGTTGCCCCCAAAAATGTGCACGTATACATGTACACACACACACACATACACACACACGTATACATGTGCGTGTGTGCGTGTGCATGCGAGAGTGTGTAGGTGTGCGTGCCTGTGTGTGTGTGTGTGTGTGTGTGTGTGTGTGTGTGTGTGGTGTGTGGTGTGTGTGTAAATC